ACCTTTAGCGTTAGCTTTGTTTTCCTTGGACAACCTTCCGGGTCGCCTGAACACTTAATGAAACTAGAAAAAAATAGGCATTTCCTGTGAAAATGCAGTGCGAACTTTGTAAGCTGAGCTTTTTTTTTTTTTTTCCAGTGAAAATTGCAACAAAGTGACTGTGCGTGTCCACACTGGCTGGTGTTGAAATAACATTTGTGAAAGTATTAAAAGATCGACAGCCTTTTTCTTTTTAAATTAACACCAGATATTGTTGAATATTCAACGATACCGGGTGTTTCCTTAACATCACAGTGTTTTTGGTGTTAAATATAGCGATAAAACCAACAACCACACCTCAGTAGAATTTAGAGGGATCAATCAACCTGACAGTCATGTTTCTGAGAACATGCAAACGCCACACGCAGGCCAGGGATTGAACCCAGGACCTTCTTGCGGCAAGGCAACAGCACTACGAACTTTGCCGCTGTGCCTATTTAAGACGTTTGGTATTTATGCTGAATTAAATAAGAATCCTTTTTGGGTAATCTGACACGAAATATGCAGAGGTAACGAACAACTAATTTATAAAAAAAAAATAAAAATCCCATATCCTCTTAGAGGCGTGACGTCAGCAGTTTGCAAAGGCGGATTTTTAAATGCACACAAAGTGGAATGCACTCTGAAATGTCGGACGTGCTGGATGCGCTCGACGCGTCTGACATTGCAAACGGTTCAAAATGCGCCATCAACGCGCCATCAACGCGATGTCACGTAAACTTTGAGTGTAAACCAAACGTACCTGACGCTCAAAATGTATTTGGCGTGAACGCACCGTAACACGAAGACATGGCTTAAGGAACAGCAACCATTAGACGCTACACCTAAGATATTATCACTGGCATTTTCACTGTGGAATCAAGATTCCCTTGCACTCGTGTTATTCTGTTTCTGTTATTCTCTCTCTCTCGTGCTCCAGAATTATTGCCAAATTGCGGGTTTTTTCGACTTTCAGATGTATCACGAAGAGACGACAACAGCGACTCCCGCTGTGAGACTCGACTCAGAGTGTGGCCCACCCCTGCATCATCGCAGGAGCGCCATCCGAACCTCTCGGCCCCGAGCCAAACTGTCGTTTTATCCCTAATCGATTTGAAGTCGCAACGCCTCCCGCCGCATTTACAACTTCCAAATGAGGCCGTTTTGCATCAGTCATCCGGTTGGGATGGTGTGCTCCGCGCACACCGTGTTTTCATAGGGAGAATAAGCTTTAAAGAAAGGAAGAATGTGAAGTATTAAAACAAATGCTTCAGCGAGGAGAGGGAGATTGCTTTTTGACCGATGGGCTCATCTGCATGACATCTCCGAGCAAATCGCTCTCAGACTGAGAGCTGCCAGAGCTCTCAGTCTGATGAGTGTTAACCGGATTCTCTTCCGCTTTTCAGAGCTCATTCTTTCTGTTGATGTTGTTCACTGGAACTGTCTTGCAAATGTACTCTGATTTTTTTTTTTTTATTGCTATTTCTTCTTCCAGCCACTGCAGGTCAATTACAAGACGTGTCCCTTGGCCAGGACGAGCCGGCGCCTCCGGTGGAGGTATCGCCCGAGCTGGACCTGGAAGTGGTTCCGGAACCCAGCGGAGACTGGCACAACGTGTTCCCCTGACTGCACTCGCAGAGTTTCGCAGCAGAAGTTCGGCGAATGTTGAGCTGGGTAGAGGGAAAAGAAAAAAAAAAAGATTTCTGACTTTTTATACGAGTTCCATTTAGAAGGGAGGCGTCTTGCTGCTGCAGCACAATTAGCGGTGAAGAGACGGGAGGCAAGCCGCGTCGGGCGACCGGTCACCACTGGTCCATGAAGTATTTGTCACTTTTGCTGACATGTTTATACTGTAAATACCACGCCTGGAAGTGATGTCATTTTCAGCTCGATGGCAGCCGCAGGTCGACCTCTCGATGATGTCACGATTGCGGCTGTAGTTTCAAGCAGCGTTGTAAATACTGTATCTAGAGGCGTATATTTTCTGAAAAACACTGGGAAAAAGCTGATTGTTTGAATAAATGTAATAAATAATTTTAGCATATTATCGAGTAAAGCCAAGATGGTACTCCTTTGTTTTTGTTTTGTTTTTTGTAGTTTTATTTTCTATTGGTGACTCAAAAACAAACAAACAAAAACCAAATTAAAGGACATTTTCTGTAAATGTAACGTGTTCTTTTTGCAGTAAAGGAAAGAAAAATGTGGCAAAATGTCAAACAAGAGCACAAGCCAGCTTGTGACTCATTGTGACATTGTGACAATCATTGTGACTCAGCACAATGATTGTGCTGAGTCATTACAACCCGAAGTGAAACCCAGCCATTAATTAAATCCAGCTCTGTATAAATGCAGCTGTTCTGTAAAGGTCCCGGCGCCGAGGCAAAGAATATCAGAGAACAAGCAGCAACACAAAGACTGAGCACAGCAGATGAGACGGGGAGAAAGTGTAAAGCGGGGTCGGGTCGCAAAACAGTCAAATTCATGTATCAACACAGAGGCCTTAAAACGCTTAAATCGGTTAATCACAAGTCTCAAATTTCTATTTTCTATATTAGATGTCTTTTCTTTTTGGATGACAATACTCACAGGATCGTTACTATTCAGGGTGATGAAGTTTCTTCGCTGCTTTCTGTGACTCAAGGCAGTGGAGGCTGTCAGTAAATCCCTGCTAACGTAGCTAGCAGGCTTTCTTGGATGAAGTTTGTACACTTCTGGGGCGGCATACGTCTTTCATAACATGCAAGACGATCTTAAGAAGGTCTTAAACTTGAGTTGGTGGAACATGCAGAAACTAACCTGCAGGCCGGGTGAGTGAAGCATGGATCAGTTCACACAGCAGGAGGGAAAAGCTATTGGTTGGCCTTTTGTTCTGTTATAGGGTCAGGTTTGTGATCTTTTTGGGCGAGTGGCACGAAGGAAACATTGCTGAAAAAAATTCTTGAGAAATCGTTTTGGAGTAGCTTGTGGCGCAAGCCATTTTAGGAGCACAGTAAAAGACGGAGGCGATCTGGACACAGATCAAAACGTAACATTTTGACCTGCGTTCGAAACCGGCGCTACACACCGACCCCCCACTGTGACACACAGCGGTGCCAGAGTTGATTGAAAGACGGATGGAGCCCAAAACAGGAAAACAATCTGAGGGAGAAAATAAGTATTTTCAGAGGAATGTGTTTCTAAGTATTATTTCAGAGGTGGATTACAAATACATATCTTACTTTGTTTAAAATTAAAAACTGCTTGGGATATTTATACCAAGACCAGCTAATAATAATAATAATAATCTTTATTGTCATTATAGAAACCATGCAACAAGTTACATGGATTATAACAAAATTGGGTGATAAATAATACCAGAGGGTATTTAATGTCCTTATGGCTACCAATTCTGCACTAAAATAGAAATTGTTTTAAACATTTTCAAATTTCTGAAACATATTTACTTTCCGAAAGCAAAAAGATTTGTTTATAAAAACCACCTTGTGTTGACCAAAGCAAGTCCATGGCGATGTGCTACTGGGCAAACCTGACCTGAGACGTTCAAGTGCTGCGTGAAAATAAAAATCCAAATTCATCAATCGGTTCTAATCATTTTGTAAAGAAGCAAAAAACAAGAAAAATGTACAGTAGGCACACTTTGTTCTTCATTTGTGATTACAGGGAGCAAGGAGAGCCTTCAGAGGCGAAATGTTGGGACGTTTGCTCGCGCTCTTTCAAACATGAGGAAGCAGTTCCTGCCCCTTCATCCACCGATCCGTCTGCTGTGCCTCCACATCAGTCCCTGCTGGAAAAGGAAGCTGCAGAGAAGGAGGAAAGGGAAAGAAACGTTTCCTCACAGCGAGCTCCAAAGTCTCTCTTCAAAACTGGAGGAACGTCTTACTTTTCAGCAAGCAATTACGGTTGAACCCCGAATCATCCAGACAGATTTAGGCCTTCAGGTTATAGAGACGATAACATTATGGAGTGAGTCAGCCACAGTCCCAACACAGTCAGAGAAACTACGAAGGAAGCTTATTATGGTTAGGTCTAAATATTCAATTGAATTCTGAATATGTGTAAATCTTGTTTCTTATACCTGAGCACTGGTTATCCATCCTTGTAGGGCTGCGTCTGTTGGATCTGGTCGCTGCCTTGTGTCTTGAGGTCGAGTCTTAGAGTTAAGTTTCGCTCCTCAGTCTACGGACGAGACGCGTTGCCCGTTCAACCTGTAAGGTTTTGCTTTCCGATGCAAACATTTTGCACACCCCTTTTGGCGATTTCAACCGATCTTTGACCCGTGACCCCGTCTCAACATTTCTCACTGGAAAAAAGGACTGATTACATTTGTGGTGACGTGACCTTTCTCTCTTATTCAGGGTCAAAGCTGCAGTTTGGCGCTCATCTTTCTTCATCCTTTGTCACGAGTCATGATATCGTCCACATATCCGGAGAGAGAAATTCACTTGCTAACTATGTGCCGTGAAGAGCGCTGGTCTTGGAAGATGGCGTGCTATTTGCTTGGATGTGCATTAACTCGGCCACTTCCTTTGACACAGTCCACACAGTTTGTGAATCAGACATTTTATCTGTTTCAGTTTTCTTCGTAAAGCTCTAATTGGCAAAGTGCTCAGTCAGTAAAGATAGTTTAACCAGCAAGTCGACGTCGTCCCAAGGGAACTGGTTCATATGTGGTTATCTGGGAGGGGAAGGGGACTGAAGGCAAATGCACGCCACACTTTTCAAATCTTTATTTTAATTCTGCATCACTTCAGCGTTACATAAAATCCCATCAAGGTTTTGAAGCTATTTCAATGTGGTTGGATATGAAGGCGTTTATTTATGAAACAAAAGACAAAAACTCCTCTTTTGGACCTCTGCGTAACGCTGTTACACGTCCCGTCGCTCTCCAAGTCCGCTTTTCGTCTTCATTTCAAAGCTACGGCATTTTCTGCCAGACATGTTGGGAGGAAGAAAAAAAAAACAGACTCTGAAAACACAGATGGTAGGGTTGGTTTATGCGTTTTTTATTTTTTATTTTTATGTTCAGTTAACAGGCCAGTCACGTTTTTATTACACGTACAGTAATAAGGAGAGTTGAGTTGTTTACATTCGTTCCTGGGATCCATTCAGCAAAAGGAAAGGAAAAAGAAAAACAGACATGGAGCTTCTTTTTTTCTTTTTTAATCGTTGGTCTTTGTTTTTTTTAACACAAAATTTAACACATTCGTGAGGAAAAACACTTTATATTCATTTCAGAGTTAATCACAGAGCACCTTTGTGAAAACCGTGTGTTGCTTTCTTTATTCGCCAAAAGGAAACACAGCTAATTGTTTTTATTTATTTATCTATTGTAATTTTTTGGCAGTCAGGAGGAAACGGCACATTTGGGGAACTGGATTTAGCTCTGAGTGTGCAATAGAAACACGGCCAACAGCAGACGACACAGAAGCATCGAGCGCGTCTCCCACTTTACGGACGTGGGAGGAAAACGCCGATGGTTAGTGAACCAAAGAGGAAGTAGTTTCTTTTTTTTTCTTTCTGCGCAAAACCACCAGCTGCTTAAAAGTTCAAAACGCTACATTCATAACAGGACGCTTCACATGAGGGGAGGAAGCGCGTGGAAAGACGACTAGTAAAAATAATGATCATAATGATGAGCTGTTAAAGTTTTCGCAACGCGACGCTTTAGAGGAAATGTTCGAGGGGACGACGCGGACAGAAAGACGAGACAGAAAACGGCTCCTTTTTAAAGAAGAAAAAAAATCATTAATATCATTATTACCTTTACTTCTAATCAACCAATCAACAAGCGGCATTGACGGTGAAGTCAGCGGTACTTGCGCCGGCCTGCGTGACCCTTGGCTGACCCCGGGGCCGCTTCGGGGTCTTAGCCACCTTTCTGTTAGAAACCCGACAAAGACGAGACTGAAAAAAAATGACATAAATAAAAGAAACGCAACCCGCACACACAGGTAGAAAGGAGATCGTTCAGGCTGGCACACACTGCGCCGCTTCAGGATCTCAGGCATCTCACACTGGCACACACTTTGCACGACGCTTGGCGGTAGGGAACAGAGATTGTGTTGCTGTCTGAGCAGCCGGATGAGCGTTTGTTCAAAAGAGGGGTAATAGCGAACATTACGGTGTTAAAAATAAAAAATAAAAGGCAGCTCAGTTTGAGGGGATGACGAGACTTCCTCCTTCTTTTTCAATTGTTTGGTTTTGCACCCCCCATGATGTGCTCTCAAACGTCGACCCTCTTGGTGTTGGAAGGCGTTTTTTTTCGGGGGGGCTTCAGCGTTTGGCTGGGGAGGCACTCCTGCTACCCTGTGAAACAAAACAACACGGAGATCATCAGCACACAAGAGCAAGAGACGATCTCTAATCTGATGTTAGCGGTCTGCTGCAGTTTCTCCAGCGCGGTGGTCACTTTCCAGAAAGGTCTGCCGTGAAATGCAGGTGATTATTGTGAGCAAATGATTCCTGCTGAGGGGGATTGTTAGAGTCATTCCTCCCACAAAAGGAGAAGGAGAAAAAAAAATGAAGAAAATATGCTGAGTCTATAATTGCTTCCCGAGGAACGCGTTCCTCTCCGGTTCATTAGTTCGCTCACCAAGCCTGAGAGCCGCGCTCAAATGTCATTGAGTTGCTCTCGTCTTTTCGGCTGTTTTCTGCCCTCCATCTAAATGAGATTATGAGATCACAGCGCAGCAGAAGCCAGATATTTACATGTGCTGCATGTTAAACTGTCTGACATCAAATCGAGCAGGTTTGTTGCTCCAAGGCAGGACCACCCAACTTTTGATTTTTCTTTTTCCTGAGTTGAGTTAAATGTTTTTTTTTTATTTTATTTTATTTTCTCTGGGCTTCTTGCTTTAGTTTGCTGTAGGTTTGTACTTATTTTATTTTTTTTGCTTTTCTGCACCCGCGCGTCGGCTTTGTCGACCGTTAGCCGCTTCGTAACAAATATGGTGGCGTGCTTTGCGTCGTCGCACATCTGGAAGCCTCAGTTGTGCCCAATCCAAATATGTTCTGCACCACATGGCTTCCACCTGATGCAATCCGTTTTGAAGCACACCAGACCCTCATTCTGCCGTTTCAGGCCCCCTTTCTTTTTCCTCTAAACTGCTTTTTAAGCCTTTACTTTTCTGTCATGTAGGAAATGGGAATCATTTAAATGATCTTAATTCATCTAAATCAAGAGGTTGTTTTCTTCTGATTGGATGCAGACAGCTTTGTTTCCAGCTAAACAGTTAGTTTTTCAGCTTTCAGACACTTTCAGCCACGTAGGCTGCTTTTGAAATGAAAAAAAAAAAAAACATTCATACATTTTGCAACTGGGAAAGATAAAAAAGCGTCGTATCTGAACCACGGACTGTAGCTTGTTTGATTGACTTTTAAGCTGCAGAAGATCTCCCAGAGAGCGTGACACATATCAGAGATTTACTTCTCTAAACCCCGAGATAAAGTTCCTCTTTTGAAGTAAGATGTAGCCGAGAGTCACGGCAACGCTGCATGCTCAATAAAAAATAAAAATCATTTAAAGGATTCAAGTACAGCTGTTCCATCACTCAGCCAAAAAGTTTTAAAAAGGCGGCTTTAAATTCCCCCGAGGGAATAAAACGCCGGAGCCGAGGAGGATCCCGCATCGTGGTTCACGATCAGATGAATCGTACAGAAACAGTGCAGCAACTATTACTCGAGCTGATGCAGAAACCACTGCCAGTGATCATTTGGTCCCGTCCTCCATCCTTCCACGGACTGCAAACGAAAGCCCCCGTCGAAGGGGAGCGGCCCCAAATGAGCACGTCTGCGTCATTTGGGGCCGCGAATCGAACCCTTTTCGTCAGGCCAGATGTCCGCAGAGAGATGATGTTATCTGTCGTGATTATGTTCTAAAAACAAAAGAGGCGGAATGAATTTGTTAATTGGATTAGCGGAGTTGTTTAGACTGCGAAAAAGACTTCTGGAGCCGTTTGCCTGTGGATGAGACATTTTGGTTTAGTAACAGTTAGAAAAAAAATGTCTAGTTCAGCTTTTGGCACTTCATTACATGGGACAGATTTAAAGGTGTAAAGTTCTTAAATGAATAGAAAAAAATAGACTAGTGTTCTGTACTGAAAACACAAAGCTAAAAGACAAACAAAGTTATTACTTTTTAATTTAGAGGCACTGTTATATTGAAGCTGTTTTTTTTGTTTTCTGTTAAATACTAACAAGTTTTTTCTAATCATGAGGAAGACCCAGCGAATTATCTGAAGACTGAAAATCGACGTCCAGCTGAGCAACATTCATGGAAATGTTATTAATTCAATTACTATAAACCCTATAAGGAGAAAACTAAGAGAAAGAGTGATAATGTGCGTTTGAACTGGATCAATGCGTGTTGTTTTATAAAAATTCTGTTTGTCAATCTTTTTTTTTTTTCAGTGTTTTCATTTCATCTGGACTCCCTCATCTGTCCTGAAAGGGGGGGGAGGGAAAAAAAGGGACTGAAAAGCTGCAGCGCTTTGGATTTAAACCTGCCGCCGAAAGGCTTGAGTGAAGAAACGGAGTGTGAAGCAGCAGTCAGCACTGGAGTGGGCCGCATTCTGATTTGTGCTTTTGGATTATGTGGCAGAATAGGAATAAATGGCTCAAACGCCTCGGAGTCCACACTGATTAGCCGACCTGGAGAGATTTAGAAGACATTAAAAAAAAAGTCACCCTTCATCTTCCAGATTTATTTCATACGTTTCGGCTCAGATGCTCAGAGTTTAGGCCCTGCTAATAAAGATGGAGCCCTTGGGAAATTTGGATTTCTCCCTCCGCCGACGACTTGTTAAACTGAATGGAGTTTAATTTGAGGCCGCGGCTTATAAGGAGATCCTTTGGAGCGCAGAGAACTCGACAGAATGACGCAGATGCTAATGATAGGAAAAACAGTTTCAGTGTTGGAAGCCTTCGGAGCGCGAGCATACGCCGCGTCAGTACGTCATTCCAGACTTTAAATTATCCACCTTTACAAAGTGTCTTTTGGACCTTTCTACTCTGGCGAAATGTAAAACGTAAAGGCACATTTCAGAAAAAAAAAGCCTCTCTCTATTTGACAAACGTATGTCATCGTTTGGCACGCTGCAATTATTGGCTGACTCGTCCACATCCACCCGAAGCTTTATGTAAAGCTAACTGTTGCCAGCGAGCTTTACACTCTTGTGTCGATATGGAGCAATTAACAGCGAAGGGCTTTTTTGTTTTATTTTGCTTTTCGATAAAGTACCTTTTGAGCTTTTAGATGCTTTGTGTTAACGACGGAAATCATTGAGCATCGGATCAAAGTGGTTTTCAGTGAATAAAAGCAAAGTTTGCATTTATTTTCTTTTGTGTGCTTAATTTTCCCACGTTGATACTTATTGACAGATTCCTATATATTTGCCGTTGCTTTGACAGCCGACTGGATTGGACACCATAGCCTGAATTGACCAGTTTTGTGTGCGGTGGCTGCGTGAAAGAAATTTGGACCAAACTGTGTCTCACGAATGAAACTCTTTTCACAAAAATGGTAGATGAATGCAAAACATTTATCTTTTAGCTCAGCTTTATGCTTTCTATGCATTGGCATGTACCGTAAAGCAGACTTTAGTTGTCCCCAAACCTGCTTCGAATGACATTATTACAGCATATCTCAATACAGCAAGTGCTTTCAGAAGAAGAGCGATCTGCATTTTCTTTTTGCTGCTGAGAATAGAGTGATTGTTTGAGTTTTCTTTCTCCAACGGAGCGCAAATGAAATGATGAAAGTGGTTGCCTTCCTTTCCGTAACGAGGAAACGTTTGCTGTTTCAAACACACAGTCTGAAATGTTCATTTTCAAAACTTTCCCCTTTGTGTTTTTGCTGAGCCAAAGCCAAAACTTAAGTGCAAAAACAATGAGTACCTGTGCATATCAGTACTAGATCGTGCACACGCATCAACAACGCATAAGCTGCGTATTATATCAGCGACGCCATAAAGCTTAGAAGACGCCCGGCGATCAACGGCGTGTCTATAAGCCTCATTATTGTGCTTCTGGTTGCCGTAGCAATGACATTATAGTGTTGTCCAAGCGAATCAATGCTGAGCAAATGTGCAGCGAGTTAAGCGGCGAGGAACCCCTCCATCACACGGTATTTACTCACTTTGCTGCTGATATCATCACTGAGGCAGAAAACGAAAATGGAAAGACAGAGGCAGGAGCATCGTTAGGGGAGAAATATGCACTCTTGATGCTTTTACAACCAGGACAAGAAAAGCAGTGAGATGAAATCATAACTTGGATATATTGAGCAGTAAAAAACAAAACAACAACAAAAAAGAGAAACAGGAGACAGAAACAAAAAAGATTTCTCGTCGTCTTCTTACCATTTTGAAGATCCTAGTCAGGGTGCCTTTGCCGTCCCCAGCGCCGGCCTTCTTGGTTGACTTCTGTTGGCCCTGGCAGGTGGAAAAGAAGAGGAATTCAAGTGTGTCAAATAATAATTATAATAAAAGTAGTATTTCACGCATTGTTAAGGGACTGAGATGTGGCTTTTTTAAAGAGAGCCGTGGATTGATTCATAATTCAACCCAGAGTCGTGGCATTAATCAGGAATCGGCGAGAAGGCAGAAACGACTGATCCTTCACTAGAATATTCTGAAGAGTGACGGATTCCTGTGTTCTCCAGCCACTCCGGTTATTGATTAGGGTGAAATCCAACTGTGCCCCGACTTGACGGAATGATTGCATCGCAGCCCCCTTTTAACATTCCTGGTGTTTGAATTATGCATGAGTCTGGAGGCTGCAAAGGAGCAACAAAGGCTCAGGGTGACGTAATTAGCTGAGAACTTTTGTGTCATTTATGCAAGGCCATCTGTGCACACAAGGTCTCGCTTTTTACTGTCAAAGAGAGCATGAGAGCGTCTTGAGAAATCTGATTATTGACAAAAATCTCATTTATTTCAGTAATTCAAATCAAATAGTCAAACTCGTGGAATAATTTAGTCAAAAGGTTTATGGCTTTCATCTAATGAAAACCCCAAATTTTGGTCTCTTGGAAAATTTGAATATCAGATAAGATCAATATATATTTTATATATATATGTTTTATATATCCAGAAATGTTGCTAATAAACTAAACTTGAGTTTTCCAGCAAATAGCCAATGACACCCGACACAAGGAGGGAGAGCCACATAGAAGCAGATTGTTTGCAGAGAGCCATGTCCGACTATAATGATGGAAAGTTCAGTGGAAGGACAAAGTGAATGTATGTTTTCTTTCAGCTTATCAGATTTTGTCCTTGTGATACAGACATTCTTTTGAAAAATAAAGATATTCATAAGAGGCTCAGTTTTTTTTTCTTTTTACTGATTTATTGATTTTCCCTTTCAATAATTTTCTAATCTGCAGATGAATATATATATATATATATATATATATATATAAAATTTAATCCTGCTTACAAGTTTGTTTCGGCAGATAACTAAGCGACTGTGAATAAAATAGGTGAGCGGTAACAGGGTTAAACCAATTTAAAAATAAAGAAAAATGTTCCTTTAAAGATGACAAACATAACCTTCCAGTTGGCAGAAAATAACTATTGTTGCCGATTTCAGAGTAAATCTGCACCAGACAAGCCAAACTGTCCAAAAAATGTTCGATGAGGCAATGCAAGCAAAAATGTAACTTTACATTAAAAAAAAAGAAATCCATCAACATATTTATGCATTAATATTATTATTAGGACGTAAAATAACCAGGGAACCAGTGCCAATAGGTTTTGGACAGTCCCTTAGCAATGTCTCTGTTCTTCTTTAATCCACAGCTAATGTGACCTCACAGCCACAGCGGTGTTAAAAGATGTGATGCTGCAGTGGAACCATTAGAATGACATAAGTTCCATGAAGAAGCGAGTAATGGTGGTATTATCATCAGAGTCATAATGTTGAAACGTGAGACGGCACCAGTCGCAGGATGACAGTGATATAGTTTCACTAAAGTCCGGGATTAAGGTTTTTATCTGTGATGTATGGGAAGATTAGGAAGACTTAGTGGGGAATGGAAGGCAAACGTAAGAACAGACACTGGCGTCGTGCTGCGAGGTTCATTAAGGAGATGGGGGTGACTTGATTGTTGAAGGAACGACTCTTTCATTTAAAGAGAACATGAAAATTCTGTCTGATCTTTCGGCCGTTTTCAAACCACCTACCAGGCCTATCTTGGCAGCTAGTCCCCTCCACTGGGAGTGCGGAGAAAGAAGAGACAGAAGGGAGGGAGGGAAAACACAGAAACAGTGTGTTTTAGTGCAGAGGCGGGATGGGGAGGAGAGGGGCTGAGTGGTTGAGGAAGGTGGGGAGGCAGAGGGAAAGTTCGGGGAGGAGCAGGTGTTCGCATCGAAACGCGGTGCATCAGATCACATTTGGAAGGGTTTGTACGGATTGATTTGTAATAATAATAACGCAACTTTCTTGCAAGCTCTTTTAAACTGATTTTGATTACAAATATGTGACGGGTGCAAACAAAAACTGAGATAAACCCTATATGTTTTGTTTCTGTTTGTTCTTTCTTGATTAAAAAAACAAAAAAGAAGGCAGTTCTCAAAGTTAAAACTTTAGATTGAACCATTACAAAAAACCTTCTACCTCTCAGTCACATCCAGAACAACCAACTGGAGGTAAATCCAGTGAAAGTTTTAGAAGTTTGTTTCAAAACAAGTAGCAATAAGAAGACATGTGGGAGGTCTTACATGGTAGCAATCACAGCTTGAGAGAGATCCAGCAACCTATTATCAGTTTGATGTTTAATCAAATGTCCTAATAAAGAAAAGGTATGGCAAGACTGGCCCAAACATGGCCGTCCGCCAAAATGTAACTGCGCATTTTACAACCCTGAACCAGACAAGAGGCCTGTGGATACTCTGGAGGAGCTGTAGAGACCCGTGGCTCACTAGACAGAGCTGGCTACATGGCAGAAACATAAGAAGACAGACTCGCCTCCCATGAGGGTAATAACCCTAAACCATCTTAGCATTATGTCCCATTATGGCCTCAGTCAATGTTCAGACGTAAATCTGTGGCCAGATTTGGTATTTTTTTGGTTCCCAGACAGTCCCTGTCCAATCCGACAGCAGACGAGTTTTACTGCTCGACATAAGTCGGGTCTAGCAGATGGACGCTGTGGTTGTCCGATTTTTATTTGTGGAAGAGATGTGAAAGCCTCGTCACTTTTCTTGCACCGGTCCGTCTAAAGTACCTTGAGCCGTGTGGTCGTAATGTGGGTCCATCAGTACTTTTGCAAAGCACCGGATAAGTTACCTTTCAGGAAAATACCAGACTTTTTCATTATTATTTCTATTTGAACGCTTGTAGTGCAATAAAAAGTGAAGCAGACTCACCCTAGATTTAGGAGGGGCGGGGGACACCTGAGGAATAGTTCAGAGCAGACAGTGAAGAGAAGAAGGTTTGAGTTGGTGGAAGACAAACACAGACAAACAGCAGAGGCAAAGCTTGGCTGGGTAACTGCGCTGGGGCTCTCTGACCCTGAGAGTCCCTGAGGGTAGCGAGAGGTTTAGCTATGACTCACGATCGTGCGGAAGAAGTGCACCACGGCGTTCTCAGCTCCGCGTTTGCGTGGCGAGGTGGCAGACGCTTTCTGAGGGGCTGGAGAGAGAGCACCTCGGAAAGAACCCTGCGGAGAAAAGCAGAGGAGCGGCCTTGAACACATCTGGGGGGACATGTTGGCTGTGCAAAAGGTGCGGGCGCCGATTCCCAAGCACACGCGTGTGCTAGGCAAACCCACGCTCATCTTTCGTTCGCCAGTGACCAGGGCAACAACTCAAAGGAAGCACAGTGAGCACATGCCAACAAAGACATAATTTGGCACACATGGATGCAGATGCAATGGGCAAAACTTTTAAACTCGAGAATACATGAAAGAGAAGAGTATGTCGCTTCTGTTGCATTTGCAGCTTGTCCTGTAGCTGAATACAAAGTGAACGGCAGACGTGTGAATAGGGTTACATACCTGGAGTCCCCGAACTGGCTTGAAAGAAAATTGTAAAGATTAATATACTGCTTGATATGAAGGGAAGAAAGGTGCAGAACGGTGGACTTCACTATCATCCATTCCCTTCCTGATCGGGAAGGTCAACAGGAGGTCCAACAGGTGCAAAGGTCACTTGAAAAATGAAGAACTTCCACAATAAAGTGTTCAGGTTTTCATGTTTCCTTCTGTTAAATGTGGAACTCTTCAGTTTCTACTTCCTTAGACGGCTTTGAGACTTCTTTACATCTGGAAAGTCATGTCAGTCTACGGATGGCTCAGAATGTCTTCTCTGTTTGAACTCAACTGAATTTACATCAAGAAACACAAAATCAAGCGATGCAGTCATATATATATATATATATATATTTGCATTCTGATGCTTATTATAACGAAAGGCAGTCAGATTCAGTTTGTAATGATCAAGATCTTCATTCGTCTACTTTCACTGAGTTAACAAACTGATATCAGTTTTACAGACTGTAAGAAGCTCTGAATCTGGACATCAAAACTCAAACAAAAAAATGTTTTGAAGCTTCACTTTCCTTGACGAAACTACACTTTTGCACCCTCGCTTCCTCGATGGTCTAAAACTGAAAACATTTATAATACAATATATTTTTGCTCCACAAGAATGCAAATAGAAACTTCAGCCTTCACTTCACACAACATTCAGTGTGTGTGTGGGTGCGTGGGCGTGTGTGTGTAAATGTCAAGAATCTGCTGCAAGACTCATTCTGAGAATTTTATATTTGTTTTAGAAAAAGTCAGTAAAGAATTGTTTAACTGCTGGAGCTGAGAAATAAATTCAGGAGCGTGGGAATGACAGTCTTTCTTCTTGCTGCAAAATATGAAAATATGTTTCTCAAACAGATTAGGAAGTCTTAAAAAGGCATAATGGATCTTCCTCTGACTCGACCTTCTCTCCGTCTTTCTTCTGGACGGGACTCAAACGTCCCCCGTGAGGCGTTGGCGTTTTAACGATGTCATTTTTTTTTGGGTTTTGATGAGGCATAAATCTTGTTATAGCGAGAATTTATGTCCAGCCTCTGGGAGTTGAACACTTCCATTTTAAAGACGTCAACATCTTTTTATTTTTATTCCCCCCCCCATTCCATGCGGCCTAAGTGTCAGGGGGGAAAAGTGGAAAACAAAAGACATTGAAGGAAGTGACTAACATCAGGAAGTGAAAATAAATGAAAGTTGAAATCAGATTGCAACGATTGGCTATTAAGAAAATCAAATTTCATTGGGTAAACACCCAAGGGATGCAGACTGCTCTATCTTGACTAAAAGGAAAAGGTGGAAAATATTCGGGAAAAAAAACAAAAAACAATAAACTCCCCACAAAATACACAATCTGACCAATTTTTACGTAAAAGGGATCAACATAGTCAAAGTCTAGTATATTGAAGAGGCACATGAATACCCATAATTACACATTTCTAATTATTCTTGAGTCGCTAAGGCAATATATTTCATTAAATTGAGATAAGGAGGAGATTTAAATGAGTGTTCACTTCTTCCTACCCGTTTTCAAACAGAAAGGTAGTGGTGAGCTAATTATCTTTGCATGCACGTTTTCTCTTGTCCTTCTGATCATTTGTTTTCCAAAAAAGCTGAATGACATAAATAGGAAATAAACCTACAGGCTACTAGACAGGACACACAGGAAGCTGCTCTTTTAACATGGAAATTTGCTCCGACGTGTGCTTTTGGTCCGAGGGACGCAAAGCAAACTCTTGCTTTTAATCCACTGATAATGCTGAAAGCTGGCGGCCGCGGCGGCTCTGAACAGAATGAATTTCCATTAAATCATTGAAATCAGTAACAGAGGAGTTCCACCCAACTTACGGTCCAATATTTGGCCAGAACCTATTAAAAAAATGAGCCAAATTGGCACCAGTGGTCATGTTGAGGAGCCGCTCCCATGAGCTGAACAAAGAGACCAATTATCACCAACCCAAGAGCTGCACACAAGTCGAAAGGAGAATTAAGATTTCTGATTGTCGGACTTTTGTGTTTGGGTAAAAAAAAAAAAAAAAAAAAAAAAAATGGACTCATGAATGAGGAGGAGAAAACTGCTACACCCAAACTCTACAGAAACCTTACACCTCTTGTCACCTGGTGTATTTTTCTGTTCCACATCATCCTGATGGAGCAGCATAATTTCGCCCCAACAAGGTTTCAGAAACGGACCTTTTTCTTTTCACTGCTCCATCATTGGGTATTTTTTGGACACCAGGGGAGGGCGAGGCCGGATTTAGTTTGGTGCGAGTTGGAGGTGAGTGCACAGTGAAATCAATGGAGTGTCCTCTGAAGTCCCGGATACCGGGAGTTTATCTGTAGCGAGTGTGCCTCTGTGGGTGTGTGGGCGTGTGTGTATGTGTATGTTGATGGTGGGTTATGATTCTCATCCATTACCTCACTGCTGCCTGACATCAAAGATGTTTAAGGTAGTAGAAAAAAATGTGGGGAACTTTCACCGCCATCACTGCTACACGCATTACGGTACTCTGAAACCCGGTCTGCCTTTCATGGCTGTTTTGAATTTGGCTCTAAGAGGATGGGAAATATAAAAGACGGAGAGGGGGGGAAACAAACAAACAACACGGTCATTCCTCGTTACCAGAACTATGTGGAAGGTTTCTTTGCCTTTGACGTGAGCGAGCGAAGTCCGGCTCGGTTCCACAGCGACCAATTGATGAAGAGGCCGTGTTTCCGGAAGTGGTCTTCCGCGTGAGCCTCGGCGTGGCGAAAACGACGCGCGGGACGGGAGAGCTCTCAGGAAACGGTGCCCGCCGCGCGTGGTTTTTAACAAAAGCGGAAAGAAGAAAGAAACAAGACATCAAATAAGTCTAGGAGGCACCGAAAGCCGCCTCGTTTGGATAAATCAGCCGCGTGCCTTTGAAGTAAATCGCTGCGCGCGGCCTGACAAGCAAGAGCTTGTTGTGTCCTCGAGCGCGTTGCAATCTTTGGTGAAGGTACCTAAGAGCGGAACTTCAAACCAAACAGGAAATGACCGAAACTGAAAGGCCGTACAAGTTGACAGGTATGTTTCAGGGGAAAGAAGAACTTGAACTAGACTTTTTGTTCAAAAAGTCTAGTTCACACACACACACACACACGGAAATCTGCTGCAAAAAACAAAAGCAACAAAAAAGACTCACGCAGATACATCTGAGTTTTAAAGGTTCAATAATAAAGTTAAACCAGAACTTTTACATGGAAAGTAAACATAACTTTAGACCCTGATGATAGAACTTTTGTAGACATGAAAAATAATATTTCAACGTCTCCCGATAATATTAACGCAGTTCAAAGTTGTCGTACCAAAAAGAGTCTGAGAATTGTTCTGCGTACCATTGGTCAGCTTGATCATTTTAATAAAATCTGCAGAACAGGCAAAAAAAAATACATCACTTTAAAAAAAAAAAATTTTTAGACATTGGAAGGGAAACATGTTTTCATGCTATTCATTGAAGTTATTTTGATACACCCAGATTACTTATTCCGGTATAAAGTCTCTCATTGTTTCAAAAAATTCAAGTTTTGAAACTGCAAAAAATTTGCATTCTACCATTTCCATGTTTATATGAGTTACAAGAAATATAAAGCAGTCATATTTTTCCTCATACGCATCATCCCTCATAATCTCATGCCAGCCCACGCACCTCATGTGTTAGATAGTGGAGAACTTTCTCTTTTTGATTTGCTGTTTATATATGGCATATAGCTGCAACTCAGACAAAGAAAAACAAACAAAAATAAGCCATAGCAGCACTTTTGTTGGGAACTTGGACACTTCTGCTCTTTTCAAGTGTGACTGATAAAGCTGAGCAGGGCTGGCAATAATTCAGCACTATGAGTCATTTGGGTGTGTGTTTTTTTTTTTTTTTTTTTGTAGTTTGCATTTAATTTGCATTAAAATAAATGTGAAATTCTTTTTTTCTTTTTATCACTATGCAGCAATAATTTCTTGGTGCACTCCATATGTATGAAATACCGAAGTGACCAAATGACTTTTTATATGGGCAGACTTGCAAACTGCACGCATCTAGAAACTGATTGAACGTCGATTTGAAGTCTGTAGAAACTAATTTCAACATTTTGGGGGAAATCGTATCCCAGGATTTTTATTTTTATTTTTTTTACCCTCTTCTGTCACACAAGCTCCGACTGCGTTCTCTCGTTTCCTGGCAATTTCATCGTCAGCCTCACACAAACAAGCCGAGGCAATCGGCCATTACTGAGCTCTATCAGAGTGAAGATAAACAGTATCTCTGCTTTCCATTACGCCCACCTTGATAACTCCTTTTTTTCTTTGCTGTGAGGGACAGAATATATTTAAACTCATTAAGTCTCAACTACAGAGAAAGGCAAACACTTGTCTCCAAACCAAAAGAAAAACAACAGCAACAAATGGAAATTAGAGGAGTTGTTGGGGTTTTTTCTGACGAGTTGTTAGCGGGGCTGTTAATGATTTTTATCTGTCCTTTGAGATAAGAGAGGACCAAACACGTCCAGGCCAGTGACGAAGAAAGCAAAAATAAAACAAAGAGAGGCGCGGGGGGGTTGTTGTTAAAGAATTTTAATCAAGCAGTTTTACCCAAAACAGAACAAAAAAAAAAAACACAAGATTAGATCAGGAACAGGTCATCGATCGCCACGGGTACAAACAGTTACATGACGCCAGAGCGGAGTTAGAAAGCGTTACAAAACAAAACAAAGAAAAAAGCAGCTCGGAGACATTTGAACCTGAGGTCAACAAACTGATGATGAGAGGTCGTCCCCTCCCTCATCCAAGACACTGGGGTTGGATTACAGCATCACAGAACTGCAGGAGAGCTGAAACCAGCCTGAGGAATTAGTCCTGGATTTCTCTCTGTACCGGTTAACAAATTATGAATCAGGTTATTCAAAAGAATAACAAAAAAACTCCAGATATTTCTCAGTCTTTCCTTTCTGCTTTGACAGCTTTAAATTCGCCCCGCTGATCTCGAACTCGTCGGCGTTTAGTCGGCTGTCTTCGCTCGCCTTGAGTGACGCATCTCTTAATGAAATAATTAAAAGTGGCGAAAAAACACGAGAAACAGGAGGAGAAACCCCATGATTCCACGTACGGAGGCTGGAAGGAATTAAATATTACTAAAAAATCAACATGCAGATTTTGTCATTTCGGCGACAGATTTCTCACTAATACTGCGGCCTATAATGTAAATGTGAGTGGTTAAGGATGTGTTTGTGGTTCGACAAGAGAAAGTATCCGTCTCCTTGATTAAAACTTGTTGGAGAAGTAAAAGTTTGCAGCAGGAAGACAGCGTTGCTATTTATTCTGTTTGCTGGAGGCAGCAGAAGTGGGCGAACCTGCTAGTGACTGAAGATTTAACAACTTGAAGGCAAAACCTTGGTGAACGCAGCGCCGCCCTTGTGGATCGGTTTATTCGAAAGACTTTTATCGGTACAAACTGCAGCACGGCAAACGCGTGCTGCAGTTCACAGCTAGCGTAAGGCGTAGGAGGAATGCATATTTTCGAGCTGGTTCATCTGCAGCGCTCTGATTCGCTGCAGATGAGGAAGCAGTTAGGCATGGGCCCGTCAAGCTGCTGCGACGCCGGTTGGAGCGAAACAGCGAAAAACAAACGAAGGCTAAATTCAGCTCTTTTGGGAGCCAAAAACAAAGTCTGTGGGTGGAAAACGAAGGAGCCCCACCCATTTCACCTGTAGGAGTAATAATGGGTTTAACTGTTTGGAGACTTTCTTTATGTTCACTTCTTACACGCTTTTTACTTTTTAAAAACAAAATGTATATCGTTTTGCAACATAACCGTAAAAACTTCTACAAGTGTAACTTTAATGGGTTTTGGCACTCTATTTTTGCTCAAATCCGTGAATTAAACTCAATATGTAAACATTTTCATCATTCTTACAGTAATAATTGACTTGATGCCGTCCTACAGTGAGAATCTCAAGCCTGGCCCATGCCTAGAAGACGGCGCGTGATCAGAGTATCGCTGCTAGCGGTATGTAACCTCCAGAGGGCGGTGCTGAGCCCCGGGCCCACAGAGGGGCGGAGGGGGCGGAGCCAGCAGGTCTGAGCAGACCAATGGTAGCCAGGCCAACCAGTCCATCATGTCTGGAAGCAGAACTGGCAGGGCGCTCTGTGCCAGGAGCCCAGAAAGCATAGCATTTTTCTGTTTTATCTCAACTTTTTAACATTTTTATTATTTTGATAAACTGTCTAAAAAATATATATTTGCATTTTTATTTTACTAGTCATTTAAGAAATAATCACAGACTTAAACACCCCACAATTAGCTTGTTTGGGAAAAATAAGTTAATCTCCCCCCCTTACTTTAAAGAATAATCTTTCAATATAATTTCACAAAAAAGAAAAAAGAAAAACACAAACGGGGTTATAAAAACTAACCTGCATTTGACACAATATAAATATTTTTTCGTCGATCATTTCTCAAACATAACATAAGCACTAACTGAGAAACAGCAGCAGCAGAGAACCTCCCAAAGCAAAGTGATGAAATAATCCGATGGTAATCCGCTCTCAGCGACAAGCGTCCACTCCCAAGATTTAGGATTAACAAGTGAGGTAGCTGAAGTGAAACCCAGCTGTTTGACAAATACTCTTAATTTCACCTGAAAACCTCACAATTTTGTAAAAAAAAAAAAAAAAACTAAAAAAAAACAAAGAAACAAAACAAAAAAAAAATCGCTACAAGTGTCAGTACCATTTATGTAAAAGAATAACTTTCAGTGACACAAAATCTTATCGACTACATGGAATGTAAAAGAAGGCAAACCCCCTCTGGTGAAGTCACTGTCCCGTGTCCGGTCAACACACATCAGCAGGACAACGCCACAGTAAAAACCAACACAACCAAAGCATGTCACGAGAAATTCTTAAAGAATGTGTCACACGATCCAAAGTAAAAAAACAAGAAAAAAGAAGAAAAAAAAAAAGTGGTTCTGGGAGTGAAATCAGCAAAAATAACTAACATATACAGACGGGGCCCCCACCCCGTGAGGTTGGGACCCCTCTCTCATTTCCTCACCTTGCCCTTCCTTTTCTTGTCCCCTCCAAAGAACTTTCCTATCTGATCCAGGAGCCCGGGGTTCTTCTTTCTCCGGCCCAGCCCGAAGGCGGCCTGCGCGGAGCTGCTTGCGGATGCCATGGTTGCAGAAGGGCTTGTCGGTTTATTCGTATTAGTCGAATCTATTTTTTGTTTCGTCGCTCTCTATAATAAGAGAGCAAAGCTCAAAAGAGTGTGGGGGGTGGAAGAAAAACGAAAACGAGAAAAGAGAAAGTAGAAGGGAACGAGCAACCAAACGGTACAAAAAAAATTAAAAAGTTAAAAAAAAAAAAAGTCAGCCTATTCTAAGTCCTGCTCGGGGCTCTCCGACCCGCACTCCGACGCCGCTCCGCTGTGCTCCTGGATGGTCTGCAGCTCGTCCGACTCCGAGGGTCGCTCTTTGAAGGTGTTGTCCTCGCGGCCCGGGGCATCTCGGGAGAAGAGGCGGACCAGGTGGGGGCGTGGCGTGGCGGCGTCAGGGTCAGCTGTGCTGGCCGGGCTCCAGGGCTGGCGGGGGCCCTCAGCGCCTGTGGAGTCAGTCACCGCCGGCTTCTCCGAGACGCAGCCATTGTTCTGCCTCACATCTGCCTCGATCAGGCCTGCGCAGAAACAACAAGGGTCATCTATGGGCTCGGGCCGGCATGGCACACAGCAAAACCCGGAGCGCTACAAAGGGACCCTTATTTTATTTGATTTTATTTTTTTAAACACTGCCAGGCCCTTCCTGCTGCAGAACAGCTGATATTTGATTTTCTTCTTTTTCTTTATCAGGAAAGACGCTCACCTAGGCAACATATTTACATTTACTTAGGTTAAATTTTTTTTGAAGAAATGGGCTTTTAGGAGTACTTTATGCTATTATTCCAGTGTTACTAATTTGAAGCATTGCTACTTTTACTTGGTACAATTTCTGGATTCTCTACCCACAAATTATTTCAACCAAAAATTCACCAGACACACATCTGCAGTTTTGTTCAAGTTTCAAAACTGTTATGTTAAAAGAAATTCATTTAGAATGAAGAAAGTGTCTTGGCTGATTTTGTTATGTTGTATTTATGTGATTTATATGAATTATTTTCAATTTGGTCCTTAAAACCCCCCCACAGTTTTGGGTTTTCCACCTCAAATTAAAACCACAAATTTGCACATAGGTTTGTGATAGAAATACACAAGGTATTACATTATAGAGCAGAAGTGAAAAAGATATGCAGTTTTGAGAGTTTTTTGCTCTAATGAAAAGCTCAAAGGTGTGGCTCGCGTTTGTTTTCACCCCTCTGTACTCTGATACCCCTAAAAACAGATGGACCTAAACTGAGATCATTTAGTTATCGCAAGAGATGTCCTCCAAAGATGGTTGTGGTAAAGTACAGGTTAATCAGCCATCTTTCTGATTGGCTGATTTGTCAAATTTATCAAGCTGCTGTCCTCCAAAATCTCGCATAGCAAGCGCAAAATAAACAGGTTTCTGTCAAGAAAAGGACGGAAGGATCCGTCCAGGAGCCCTGCAAGAAAAAAACAAAACAAAAAAAACCCCAAGACTAAAATCAGAAGGTATGAAGCAGCATTTCTGCTACCCGAATGTTATAAACACTGAATAGTGGATGAAAGTGAGAAAGAAAAACACTGTTAGGGCGGTCATAGAGCAGAAAAGTCTGTTAGTGTTTTAGGTCAAAGCGTATTCATTGAGCCCACTCAATGTCGATACCTGAGAGGATTCTTGATCCAATGTGACTGAACCTGAGCTGCTTTGCAAAGAAGAATGTCACGACCTGATCGAGACACACGGCTCAAGTCTGGGACTCGTAATTGCAGCAAAATGTGGTTCTCATTTGTATTCACTGAGCTGAATACAAATGAGTGCCACGCAGTTCTGGCTATTTATTTGCAGATTTGATTAAATGATAAATTATTTCCCTCCAACTTGAAAAGCCCCCGGCATATTTAGGGGCTTCTGCAGCACTTTAAAAAGGAAACAGTCATTCCTGAAATGTCCACTTTTGACAGCCACCGGTCAATCTAGGGCAGCTCCCACAGCAGAGGACATCCAGTGCATGTCCATCCCTCCCCTCCGGCTCCGAGACAATGTACACACTGTACTGACAAGATATGGTGTAGCACTGCACGGGAAAATCTGCATGCTAATAGCAGGCTGGAACACTGGTCTTTTGTCAGGGCTGCATAGTAATTGCAGAAAGACAAAGGCCCCAGTGTCACTAAAATAACTCCTATAAGTATGGATTTTCAGCCCAATACACGGTGACACTTATCTGATTTGGGAGCAGAGAGCTCAGAGGCTGCTGTCGGCGAGCAGAGGAAGGATTTGGTTCTGCAGTGCATGGGATATTACAATAGGATGTTGTCTCATTGACATGGAATAACGTCCAAAACTGTGGGTCAAATGAAATGTAATCCCTGAGTCATATCTGGAATTTGGTGTTCGAGGAGGAAAGCCCGGAGGAGACGACGTTTGTCACCTCCCTGCCTCATTGGCAAGAGACAGTTTATAGAAGAAGTTCAAGATGCTCTTTTATCGGGTTTGCTAGAGGAAAAGAAATGAGGAAGGATGAGCCAGTGAGGCTTTTTATCTGAGTAATGTCATCTTTTAGCAGGTCACAACGTTTCTTGTTAAAGTCAAGCGTGTCTCAGAAAGTGGCGTCTGCTTTTCACTGTTGCACAAAACCTAATGAGCATTCGACTTTTCATTTTAACTCTACAGTCTAGTCCCTTCACATATGTCTTCAACAGATAACACAGTTTCTTTTTTTTTAAATGTCATAGGCATAAAGTAGGAAAAAAAAGACAAAAAGTGCAGTTGTCTTGCTTTTGCTGTAACTCTCTAGACTGTACACGCACAAACTGACAAAGAAACAAATATTAATTACAACTGCTCCATCCATAAATGATAAACTAATTGAAATCGATAGATTCCCTGGAACAGACTTTACTTTTGAACAACTGACTGATGCCAGTCTGAGTTTGTCCGAACACCCAGCCGTGTTTCAGACGTCCGAATGTCAATATCAAAGTATATTCAATATAACAATGATGCTGCCACCACCTGCTTACAGGTCGGTACAATGAACCGCTGGTGTTTGTGGGGATTAGAAACCTGCCTTGATAGGTAGCTGCTAATGAATAGCTAAAACCTGCTAATACTCAAGAAAAAAGTTTATAACTGCCTATTTCAATCATTCAAACACCAAATATATCCTTATGTGCATTAATCAGAAGAGTATAAAGGATCTTATCTAACATTAAAAGTTTTCCTTATCTCTACTTTTAGGGGTAGAGATAAGGAATCAGCACCAAACAAAATGAATGGCACTCCTGCTTGGCAAATACCAGCCAGTTGGATTCTCTTCAGATTATTATGGATATGCTCAACAAAAAAAAAAAAAAAAAACTTTGCGAATCCTTGTGTGAGAACCTCACATCAACTTTGCATCGACATTCTTCTCATCGCTTTGGCCGAACTGCATTTTATCTGACTAGAAAATTACATTTTCAAGCACCTAACGTGTCCGTGTGGGGAGTCGAGCTCCGCAATAACACTCCACTCCTCCAAACTAAATTATGGTCCGCTCTATCGAGGAACTCGGAATAATTCTTCCCTTAAATGTTCTCCTCTGAGGAGTTGATGCTCCCAATCACTGAAAAACACAGAAACACACACAAAGAAAAAAAAACAACCGAACAAAGAAAGCTGAACAAGCTGCTGATGCGTTTTCCCCTGTGTTTCTCAGGGGTTTTGTTAGCATTACCTGCCAATGACTGGAGGTAAAGCTGGGCCAGTGATTTCAAAGAGGCTCATTAAACAGAACTGATTGGTCGCAGCGCTGAGTGTATCAGTGACATTTACTCTGGGACGACCGCGGACTCAGCCAAACGGGCCGCATCGACTGTTTGACGTGTGATCAGACAGGCCTTTCTGAAAACTTTTGAGTTCTTCGATGTTCCTTTTCCTCCTTGTCGGGGACGGAGCAGAGGAACATTGGAGAACAGCCGGGCTCGTATTGGTGTCTGTCTGAACCACGTGATGATTTTGTTCTGGATCTTTCTGAACAAAATCCTTATGAGCTCCAGAGAAAAAAGGAGAAAAAAAAAAAAAAAACACTAACCCACAAATTATTCACCTAAAATTATCCGAAGGTGAACAATAAGGTTCTGTTACCAAGCTGTTTTCACAGTGACTCTTATTCTAACCTGACAAGAAGAATAAATAAGAGGGCTCTTGGTTTTTACCCTTCAGCGGCCTGTCCATGAGGCCTCTTAAATTCCCATCATCCATCATCTTGATGCTCTCTTTCGTCAGCCCGGTGGCGCTGCCATCCACTTCTGGAATACCAATAAAACACAAACCGAAGTCGGAGAAACGTCCCGCCGAGGAATACCTAATCAGTCGATAATGGTTCGGCCTGGTGCTGAGCAGGTGAGAACAAGTTGTGTTTGGCCACACAAAAGGTCACGCTCGTAATGGCGCGTAATTGATTGAAGGTGCGTTCGGATCCGCACAAGTTCCATTTACACGTCTCGGAGAGTGACATAACAGTTGACCCCTGCCTGGGTAATGGCTGAGCGAATCAGATTACCATTTTAGGTAACAAAACATTTCTTTAACGAAGCCACAAGACTTCGCTTACCGTCTGCCAAGCTCTGATGGAGGACAGCAGATTAAAAAGTGAAAAATAGCTGTTATTAAAGCATTTGGATTGATTGTTTTGCTGAGTGTCTCCCAAGACTTCTCGCATTATTTTCCACATTCTGTCATGTGAATCCTTCAACAGCTTGAATACATTATGCTCAGTGCTTACCCAAAGGATTTAGCCTGGCGAGGGGGGCGGACAAAGACAAACACTTAAATCAAAAGCAATGGGGAAAAAAAAACGTTTAACAACAGCAATCACTCTGTGGAACAATTGATCGCTGCAGTCAACTTAACAACCAATAATGCAAACATGTCTACGTTCCTCAACAGAACATTCCAAAGGGAAAAAAATCTTGAAAATGTTCTTTACCTTGCATGCATTTCCTTCCCAAGGTCAGTCCTATATAGTCAGAGGGGGAGTATTTTCCCCCTGACAGCAAAGATAGGTGAAAACCTTTTATTTAGCGATGACTGGAGTTCTGCAGGGTATCAGGTGAAGGGCCTGCGGCGCTTGGGCTATTTTGCATACTAGTTCCTTCATTGTTTGTGCCAGGAGTGAGAGATTTACACCTGCTGCTACTCACAGGCGAGTAAAGGCTGAGTCTAGTCACGCTTTTCAAAAGGACTGAGCCGAGGAAGCGGAGCGGCTTTTATTTGTGCTGTGTACGTCGGTGCAGCATTCTCCAAAGAATTTGCCCTTATGGAGGGGTCACGTAAAGGCCGGTAGGCAACCCTGTTCTGAAAGAGCACCATCCAAGTCGTCCACTTTAATAGAAAGAAACCACGCGGAGTCACAAAGATTCGGAGGTGCGCGACCGGGCGCTGCATCACCGCTTGAGGTTAACATGCAGGGGTGAGGGCGACGCATCCTCACGCCCCACTCAATGCGTCAACTATAAACCTCGTCTTGGTTAAGACGGAGCTAAAAGTGGACAAAAGACGACATACCATCAG